TCTAAGGCCTTAGCCTGATTTTCTACATCATTTGGAGAACTCCCAGATTTCTTATCAGTAATAACCACTATAACTTTTTTAGCGTCTGACCGACCTTGTGTTGTTAAAAGCAATTTTGCTGCCTCAAGAGCCTTGTCTAACAATGCCCCAGAGCTCTTCTGCGCGCCATCCACTAAGCCAAGTAATGTTTTGTCGTCTACCAAAGCATCGTTGAAAGAAATCTTTATATTCGGCACATTTCCAAATGTTATGACAGCATAGTGAATACTGGATGTGCCGTAATTATCAATCATGGTCTTGATGATCTCTTTCATTTGCTGAAAGTTTTCTTGGCTCTTGAGGGCGTTAGCGCTTATTGCAAAGACGAGGTCTGTTTTTGGTATGGACGGTGGATCTAAAGAAGGCAAAAAAAAAAATAAATTAAACGGTTAACACCGAAAGCACTTTCTTTTCAATCTACAATTGGAACTGTACATTGCTTTGACATAAGGCTTTGTGCACTTGAATGCAACGTCTAGGAATTCAAGTAAATTTAATCAATTGTCACTGTTCTTCTGAACTTGCTTGTAAGTAAAATCGCAATCATCAATTGCAATAACAAATGGAACTTCGCATCGAAAGGTAATATTGACAACTGCCATAATTTGTTCTTGGTACCAAAAGCCGGAAATGGAATATAACCCAATGCTCACACTTACAATGACACCCTGCCTTCAATACGACTTCCACACCACTATTCTTTATGTAATCTTTACCTTGTATTATTTTTTCGAGGATTTCTTTACCGACGCTTGAGGGGTCGCCGTCCTTGTCAGTAGTAATAACATTTTTCTTGTTACTTGTGATGCTTTCCAGATGCTCGTCATCAACATTTGCTCCAACACCGACTGGTATGACCTGAATATCCTCTTCTTCTAAACCAGTAGCTGCTTTTCTAATCGCAATAGCATCATTGATTGACTTTTTATCCATAATGACCACCAGCACCTTTTTTGCACCAGGACGACGACTAGGCGCTTTATCAAACATACTCTTTGCTTCGTCTAAGGCTTTCTGTAAGTCGGGACTACCCAAGGGTGCGGGGAATGCGTCAAGAAGACTCATCAGCGTTCCTTTGTCGGGGAAGGTGTGCGAGAAAGGAATGTAGGTATTGGCTGAGTCCGCAAACAGGATGATACCGTATCTAATATTAGCAATTCCTTGGGTACTGACGATGTATTTCACGACGTCTTTCATGTTTTCGTAAGTCTCATTGGCTCTGATGTCTGTTACGCTGATTGCAAATCCAAGATCAACGTTAAGCGGCGGCATCGAATCTAAAAAATGCGTTACCAGATATGCAATGAATTTAATGTTTCTTAATGCAAATGCAGATGTTAGAGGTAGAATTAGTAAAATTGAAACAACTCAATTTTGTATTCTGAGTGAGCTAACCAAAATGAGTTATTCTGACTTCTTTCCTTTAACATAATTGAAGGGGCCAACAGTTTTTAAAGGAAACATCTGAATTACAATTTAAAGCCATATATCTGCATCTCAGTACATTGATGATTTCTTCAGACCAAGCTCGTGTCTGTTTCCTCTTATCAATTGACAATGATACACATTAAATTTCCAACCATTTACCATGTGAAAATGGGAAGTCAGAATTAACATGTCATTCTGATTCAGTTGTGAAGACAGAGTCACTTGATTATGCCTTAAAGAAAAAAACATAGGACCCCTCACAACTTCAATTGTGGACATTCTCTCAGGTTGATCGTGGGGCCATTACTTTTCTAAAAGCCTTCACTTAAATGCTTACCGTTCATTGCTTTTTCCATTACTGCAACTGCAATATCTTTGGCAGTGTCAGACTCATCCGTCTCGATCACGTTGTCCCTATTCAGAGTTGTTCCCGCAATTTCTTGTGGATCACTTTCTTTGCCGAATGTAACAGCGATAACTCGGACGCCATCTTGAGCAAGCGATTTCGCCGCAACATCCACGGCAGTCTCATCACTGTCCGAAGTCTTATCCATAGCTACCACAACAATCCTTTTAGCACCGGGTCGAGTGAGTGTTTCATTGTTAAGCAGCTCACTTGCTTTCTTCAGTGTCCTGCTCAAATCGACCCCTTCACTATTCTTTGAAATGTTCAGCAGCTTTGTTCTAATTCCCTTGGAGTCGATTTGCTCTCCAAAATCTAGCTCTACATCTGGATACTTTCCGAATGTGATGATACTGTACCGCACAGACGATGAGCCGTGGGTATTTAGAATCTCAGCAATCACTGATTTCATTTTAATGAAGTTATCATCTGACTTCAAAGCTGTAGCACTGAGGGCAAATAAAAGATCTAGCTTCTCCACCTTGACAGGAATATCTAGGTGAAGAAAACAAAAGGAGATTCGCAGAGGTCACAGCCATTTTCAAAGCACTTAGAGAATTTTTGATCTGTTATTGAGAGTGTTTCTATTAAAAAAAAAAAAAAGAAGATCGCAACCCAAGGTCAAGCCCGAACCTCAAACCCGGACCTTTCGCATCCTAATTTCTCCCCCTCGCCAGTACACTACCACACCGACCTCTGGCACATTAACTACCAACTGTCTTTCTTAACTGATACATCAATACACTTTACCAAGCCCTTTCCCTAACTTTTTAAGGTTAATTCAACTAGGACTTCAATGTCGTTCTTTTTAAGACTATTCAAAAACGTATCGTTTGCGCTATTGTAACTTCATCCAGGAATATATTCCATCTATCACGACTAAAGGCTTGGTTACGAATGGTGACATCGACCGTTAAAAAAGGCAACGATCGTTTACGAAAGTGAAATAGGCGTCGGAGCTCTCATAACCCGCCGCACCATGTCTTACGTAGGTCTTGTAGCAAAATTGAAAATACAAAATTAAGTTTTACACAGCAAAGAGTATGATCACGTTACCGAACTCCTAATGTCTTACTTTGTCTAGTGGTTACCTTCAAGTACTTTAATCATGATCTTCTCAGCAGCTTTCTCTGGGTTCTCATCTTCTCCCATTTCCACCAGATAATCTTTGTCAGACGTGATTTCGGTCAGTTCCTTAGCGCTTGCGTCTTTTCCGATCGCCACAGGTACAACTTTCACACTGGATTCTTTCAGTTCTTTTGCCTTAACCTTCGAGTCGGCCCGATCGCCAGACTGCTTCTGATCCATAATGACGACCAAAACCTTTTTGGCGTCGGGTCTAGCGGTGTTTTCAAACAGCATCCGCGCATCATCAAGCGCTTTATCCAAAGCTGCACCGCTTGGTCTAGAGGCGCTGTCAACCCTTTTCTTTAAAAGCTCAGAACTTAAGAGTTCACTCTCTGTGAAGCTAACTATTCTTGAGGGAAGACTGCCAAACAAAATAAGGCTGTAACGAATGTCACTTTTTCCATAGCGATCGATGACTGCTTTGATCGTGTCTTTTATCTGTTGCAAGTTTTCTTCAGCGTCTACAGAACCAACACTTATTGCAAAGGCCAGGTCAAGCTTTGGTATCTTTGGAAATTCTAAAAACAAAGAACATTGTTTGACTATGCAAATATCCAAAAACCCATAAATGCTACGAAGAAATTTATCTTGGTCAACTCACAAAGATTCATTGCATAAGCTAGTGTATTTCTGAGACAAAAGCCAGGTAGATGCCAAAAGTGGACTCATTTTCATTGGGAGAGAGGATGATCGCTCCCTTCAACCGATCGCGCTTGCACAACAAGTGGAAAAGAAAGTGAGAAAACTGGTATAAGAAAACACCAAACGGTATTTAACTTTTGTGTAACTGATATTATCATGAATTGTACCTTTTTGCTCATCTCTAGTACAGAAAAGAATCCCTTTTATAAAGAAGGTAAGGAATAGGTACTGCTATGCTCGATTAACTTCCCAAAATATCAAGCAACACACTTAGAAGGCCGAGTAAGCCGATGTGGCAGAAAATTCCCAGCCACAAGACTTTGAGGGTCAATTGATAACAGAACTGTGCCAAATGGTCATTGAACACGCATGAAGGTATTACTTTTTTTGTATTTCTAATGAAAGAAACAGTTTAAGCACAAATTTACCATCATGTAATTTGGTACTATTGGTAGTCTCTCACTCACCTTTCAAGACCTTATCAGTAATTTTTTTTGGCCAAGTCCTAGGCTCGGGAACTGGACAAACTGCAATCTCGGGTTTGTATGTGACCAAGACTTCTATTTCATCTACATCAACTTCAGGGCCGACAATAGCTGGGACAATCGTGACGTTATTCGCCTTAAGCGGTTTTGCAGCTTCGACGATTTCCCCACGCCCATTTGTTGACTTTTTGTCTATGAAAATGACGAGTACTTTTCTGCTGCCAGGTCTGGAAGACGCTTTCTCAAACAAGTTCTGAGCCTCTTTTAAGACTCTCTCTATGTCTGGGTCACCATCTGGGCGACTTAGCTGCTGTATTATTGTACGTAATTGATCCTTGTCACGGTAGGCACCGAAATTAAGATCAACAGAGGAATTGCTGCCAAATGTGACCACTGCGAAGCGCATTTTCTCTGTACCGTATTGCTTGATGATTGAATCCACTGCGTCTTTCATCTTGTCAAACGTGTCGTCTGCATCCACAGCTGCAGCGCTCAACGCAAACAGGATATCAATCTCAGGGATATCTGGAGTATCTTAAGCACAAACAGTACAAACTCTGTTAGAAACTGTGAGTGGGTAGCGATAATTGTTGCCATTAAGGCTGTCTACTGTAACCTATTGGAAAGTCTAAGATGTCACAACGGAAACGACAACGAGAACGTACAAAAAGCGATAAGTTTAATTAGCAAAAAAAAACAATGTACTTAAATCATGCTTTGTGCTACATTTCTCTGCCCTCAATGAACGACTACAACTAGAACTTGCCTAATTTCACTTTCATTTTTTATGGACTAACACATTTTACTGGAATTCAACTCCAGGAGGGTTGTCCTCTACACTTAGAAAAGAGAGCGAGTTGGAAGAATAGTTTCAAAGAACGCAAATTCATCTTTCCAAATGGCGTTACTGCCACCATCACCGTCTTGGTATCTTGACTTAAGCCTCGAATAACATAATACTGCACAGTAGCTAATCGACATGATCACTGACGTCCACGAAGGTATGAGATTTTCCAAGACAGGGTTAACCAGTAGTCACAATCACAACCGCACATGTTTATGCCATCAAAAGACCAATATGTTCCTGCATATCACCAGGTCCAAAAACCACTTGGCAAGGAATTCATAATAGTATCGCATTTCACGTGCCTTATTCTTCGAGAACGAATCGTAATGTCCAACATATTAAACAAATGACAGATAAGTGTTTGAACATCAATTGGTTTTAAGTTAAGCATTTAGCGCGAACGTCGCTTACACTGTGACTTACACCGAATCGTACGATACAACTCTCTTTAAATTTAATTGACTTTATTATCATCAATTATCCAAAGCACTATGGCGTGTTACCCTGAAGCTATGCAATTTACTAAAATTCCTCACCTTTGTCAATAATAATGATTATCTCTTTAGCCACTGTATCTGGATTGTCGGTTGTATTTGTGAGGATGGAGGTTGGGCTTACAACATGCACTTCTGGTTTATCAACCTCGTTGCCCACACCCACTATAACCACTCTAACACCGTCATCTTCTAAGAGCCTGGATGAGGCCTTGATGTCATCTGTCTTGCTATTTGATTTTTTGTCTACAATGACAACAAGTATGTTTTTCGCAGTTGGTCTTTTCATGGCTGCATCCTTAAAGAGATCTCTGGCTTTGTCCAATGCTTTATCGAGAGACGCTAGGCCACGTTTATGGTCGATTAAATTAATGGCTCTTTTTCGATCTTCGATTGTTATTTGGTAAGTGAAGTTCAAGTGAACAACAGGAGCTTCTCCAAAGGTTAGAACACTGTAGTAAACGCCAGCTGACGGGTAATTGTCAATAAAAGATTTAATGATGTCCTGCATTTGTTTAAATGTTCTGTACGAGTCCTCTGAATTAGCACTGATTGCAAAACCAAGATTGACCTCAACTAATAGCGCAGGCTCTGAAAACAAAAAAACAGACAAAAAGCAGTCATTCCTCTCAAAGATGGAGTTGATGATAGGGGGATAACGTGTCGGTCTTGTGTAGGTGTCCGGCGAATAGAATCAGAACGCGATCAAAAAACGAAAGGGCCGTACCGTACAGTAGGCGTCCGTTTTAGAGAGATTAACTGTATAGATTCATACCTAATCAGGGAACTTAAAGCTTTCATTTCAAAAATTTCAGTTACGACTCAAGCAGAGTTTTCTATGTCCACCAACTAACACCTTTCTGACCACGGCCCTCCTCCTGAACGACTAATACATGTACCTTTAATAGCCTTCTTTATTTGTTCATCAATGGTGTTTTTAACATCTTTGGGGGCATCTGTTGGTTCTACTAGTTCAATGCGATCTTCATCGTCGGTTGCTGGTTTAAGGTTTTCCTTTGTTACTTCACTTCCGATGATAACTGGGATAACAGTAACTCCTCTCTTTACAAGCGTTCGAGCATTTCTCTGCAAAGAAAATTAAAACAAACAAACAGATAAACACGCAAATAAACAATCAAACAAATAAGGTCTGCAAGATCTACATTGCACTGCAGCAAGCGTCATTATAGTATTGTTTATTCCTTGGGTAAAAGGGAAAGATTGTTACAGAGCAAAGCCGTCAACAAGGGTATATGTTAACAGAAGATTACAAGGGTATATGTTAACAGAAGATTACAAAACACGCCCTCACATTCGCGGTTTATGCCAAAGAAGTCATTCTGACTTCACGCAACAATCTCATATGGGAAGTTTTTATTTCCTTAAACTTTCGCTCGTATGTTTAGATCATGGATTCCTTTTAGCTTTATTGAAGGTTCGTCATTTTACTTTCACAGTGACTCCAATAGAGTCAATAGAGGCAGGTCTAGTAGTGTCAATGAGCTTAGTATTTGTCATCTCTCGCAAGCCACAACGGTCAATCAGAAAACAAAATAGGCCTATTTTTGTTCGAAAACTGCGGGTTCTATTTGGCTTTTGACGTTTGGGCTCATCTGATTATCTTGCACCCAACTGACTACTCCTCTTGAAAGAAGCGGCCCTGCTGAAAAGTTCTAATCAACAAAAATTCTGCCCGTGCTGAAAACAACTAAATACATTCACCTACCCGTACAAAGTTTGGATCACTTATTGATTTTTTGTCCATGATCACTATGAGGATTTTTGTGGCCTCATCGCGCGTTGAATTGGCAAACAATGTTTCCGCCATTTCTAACGCTGCTTCTAAATTTGGAGAACTTGACGTTGACGTTAACTTTTCTTCGACAGCTGTCTGGAGGTCAGCGGTGTCTGTAATTTGATCTATAAAAGGAATCCTTAAATCTGCTGATGAACCAAATACGATAAACCCATAATGCACTCGGTCAGCGCCGTAAGATTCAACCATCATCTGGACTGTTTTCTTCACTAGTTTTAGGTTGTCTTCTGTGGCACCTGGGGCAACACTGACGGCAAAGCCAAGGTCTAATTGTGGGCCCTTAGGGTCTGTGTAGATGGAATGTAGAAAGCATTAGCTGGCGGCACTATCAAACCTGAAACACCTTAAAGGAGCTTAATCAATAATGTGGTCGAAGAACTTTAGAGGATCTCTTAAAAGACAGTTGATCCAGAACGTTTGTGGAAAAAGCGAACTTGATAAAAGACCAAAACGAATTGCGACACTTCTTAGCATTTTACCCGATGGACGTTCCAGGAGACTCTTGACCTAGATAAAGGACATATTGTAGGAACAAATTTAGTTCGAGGGAGGTAAGGCCTGAAAACTTTCTTAGTAAACGTTGGAGACTGCAATTGGCGCTACGACTTCGTTGATGGAAAGCATTTTCTCTTGATCTTCAAGAAACGAATGTGATTCTGATATGCGTTTAGACACGTACTCATGCCTGATAGATTCTGAATCAGACCTTGAAAGCGGAAGAGGCTTTTAAACCCAACTGTGCGTTTAATCAGCCCAAGAGGAACTCTCTGAGAAAAAGGTCTACCTTAATGGTAATGCAGCCTCACTCAAATGGTTACGGGTTGAGCATAAAAAGTGGAACAAGTGTTAACGAAAACAGCTGTAAAAAAGTTCACTGATTTACCTGTCAAAACTAGCACCATAATTTTACCGGCCAGTTCCTTTGGATCCTCATCAGATGTTGTCTCTGTAACATTATGAGAAGTGAAGTTTTCTAGTTCCTTCGGATCAGCTTCATCGCCAATCACAAC